TTTAAAGAACTAAAATAATTATAGAAGTAGGTAGGTAAGTAATTTGATTTTTTCTAATATTAAAATCTAATAATACATTTTTTCTCAACAGTAAACTTTTAAATATCCTATGGGATATTCAATATCAAAATAATCTTAAAATTAAAATTTGTATAGTATAAATAATACTTACTAATTTTTGGAAAAAAAAATGTCAAAATCAAAATGTGTCAATTCAAATATATTTTATTATTACTTTTACCTAAATTTACCAATAGTCTTGTATGTCAATATCATAATTAATTATTGTTGAGTTTTGAAATAAACTACAAATTTGTTTATGAAAAAGATAAATTTATCAGATAAATGTGCATGCAGTATGTATGCAGTATGCATGTAGCTATGTAATAAGTTAAGAAATTATACACTTAGTTGTGTCATTGCGCTATTAGGTCTCAAAGCTACAGTATCTAAAAAGGAAAACTTCTCAAAGTTTTAAATGTTGTTATCTTGGTATTAACTATTTATATACTTATGTGAATTAAAAGTTAAATCTATATAATAAAAACAAATATGTGATTAACTGTATAACATTTGACAGAAAATGAAAAGTTTAATTATTTTGCCCTTTTTAATAATGTGACTAAAAATGAAATTAATAAAAAATTGATTAGATATGTTTGGAATATTTTTTAGTTAATAATTTTGTTTTGATGAGAGAAAAATTCTATTGAATATACAATAATAACATAGTATAAAATAGTTTCATTATTGTATGAAGTAGATGACCACTAAACATTTTTTTACCTAATCATTGATAGAAAAAATTTAACTATTCACTGAGCAAACCATTATACTATTATGTTCATTAAATATTTGACTCTATATTCACTTGAAAAATAAAAAAAAAATTTTGTAAGTTATTACTTATTACCTATCTAATGGATTGCATTTTAGAGTACTGATTCATGAGATACTTTTGTAATTATTATTATTAAATAAACATACTAAGCCACAACAAACAAAACAGCAGTTTACTAACTAAGTAAAAGACCTTTTAAAATTATTAAATTTTTTTCAATTGTTGATTTATTATACTTTTAATATCTAATTAATGATCAATAATAATTGAAACAACCTTTTATAAAGTATTTAAAATGTTGTTATACTATCAATATTTAATATTCTCAGATATTATTAAACAAAATATAATTATATTGAAAAATGAAAATTTGATCCATTTGATTTATCTTACTTTATTGTAATATAATTTAATATCTTAAATTTGTATACTATATAAAAGGTCTGAAAAACTAATGAAGTCTTAAACTATGTTATTTTAAAAGTTCTTAGTGTCTGGGTATATCAATCACACACTTCCAACTTATAAATATCATAAATTAGTGCTCACAATGATTTTAAAAGCTATTTGGGGCAAATTTTATTGAAAGCGTTTGTTCATAGTACCTACCTACCCCATACAGAGTGTTCCACAAAGATATACTCATTGTAATATCTCTTCGGTGATAATAAAGACAATCAAATTCTGTTTTTTTCCCTACTTTACTCACAAAAATAAAGAATACAAACATTTTTATATTTCAATTAATTTTTTATGCTTTGGTAAAAATTTAAAAAATAACTTTTTATTTTATTATTTTTGAAAAACTGGAAGATGGTTATTTAATAGAGTTTTCTCTTCTAATAATTTTTAAAGTAGTATATCATAAATGCACCTACCATAACACAGAGATTAGATAGTACACATAAATTTTAATATTTCTACAGCCAGGAACATACACAAAATAAAATTCGGAGGTGGAAGAGGGTTTATAAAAAATGTACAATACCTAATCAATATTTAAAAAAAAAGATGTCCTAGAATAATGGGGACGGATATGGCCACTGTTATAGGTATTATAATGTATACTTGTAAGCAACAATAAACTATTGCCCACAAAAAAACGATTCTGAGCGGAGTTCAGTTGATAGTGGTGCTATGTCAACAATATATATGCCATATTATAATAAAACAATTTAAAAAGCTTTATATATTTTCTTTAATATTTGTTTAGTGTTGCACTGATTTTCCTACATTTATCCTGGTTTTTTATATTTGCTGGAAAAAGTCCCGAGAAAACGGAAAAATGACCTCTTTAAAGTACCTCCCTAGTGAAATTTCCTTTTAGAAATACTGCTATCATTCATTATAAGTTGAAGCAATATTGCTGGTAACAGATAAAAAAAAATTGGTTTGAACCCCAACCCCACCCCCTGTATACGTGCCAGTTTATAGCACATTTTGATACAATTCATTCAATGAAAAATGATCAAAACTCTAAATAAAAAGAAGTGTATAGTGTACAGATAAACTAAATTACCTACTTATGTAGAAAACAACATACAAATTAACCATTATTAATAACTTGCAGTTTTTTGAGAAAATGTTTAAATTTAGAGTTAACAACTCCAAAATAGCAGATACAATTTTGATAGAAAAACGAACGTTTTTTTTGTTTCGGATCATTGGCAACTTATATTAACGTTAATGTAGTAATGTGTACCTTTTGTGTAGCATTTTTGATATCCGCTTTTTAGTTTTCGTTGAACTCATTTTGTGTAACAGATACTTCAAACATTTAATTTGGTATTTTTTTCTCGAAGGTACCTAGGTAAATAATATAATTACAATTCATATACATAATAACACAAGTTCACAAACGAAAAACCACCGATACTCCGAGTACTGAATACCGATACGAATCGTGGACACCGGCGTAAAATATGAACACAATATAGAAATATTCACGTAATGTTTAATAATACGTACCCGACTTGCAGTAGTGTAATACGGCAACACGGACAATTTTGACATTGAAATTAAAAATAGAATATAGTTTATTGACGTTCAAACATCAACGTATTCCGAGAAATGCGAAATCATCAGCAAACCACTAATTAAAATATTAACAATGTCTATAACCACTGAACTATATACTGGTGCTATATTCGATGGGGCCGTAGATTAAAATTTATAATATGTAGCCGTGTAGGAATATCTGACCAATGGCGGCAGAGCTTGCGCTAACGGGTCGTTTTAAGTTTCTAACCATAGACAAGAACACGAATTTGGTTCTGACTATGGTATAATTAACATGGTATGACAGCAACAGAGTTCTGTGCACGGTATCACGTCCGAGATTTATAAATAATATTATCTAAGAACCTTGGTCAATGTCATCCGGTCCGTCGCCTGTTATCATAATACGTTATTAACACTTATAATTTATTTTATTGTAATTTTGTCCGGACTCTGGTTTGTCAACTGTTCAACAGTTGTAAGTTTTACATGATTTTTAAATATATATTTTTCATTAACTTTTGTGTTTGTAATTAAATATGAATGTACTTACCTTGTCTAGTTGAATGAGTTGAATTATTCATTTTATTTCAAGATGTTAGCTGTTATTATTTTTAAATGACTTAATTGTATCTTCATGTAATTTTACTGTACTTTTCAGAGTGGCATTTAATTCTTTTTCTTTTTTCAATTTATTATGCATCTGCAACAAAATGGTTTGTAATCTAAAAATGAATTGTGTATATTATTTACTAAACAACATAATTTGTATTCTTTACTGTAAGACTTCAGTTTCTATTAATATCACATTGTGAACTACAAGTTGTACTATCAACAAGTTGTACATTATTGGTTTGAGTGCTTGCATCGGTATAAATAATACAAATGTCTTCAGTGTTAAAATTCCAATTTCTTCGCACAATGAAGTGGCAAGTGAACTGCCATTATTCAATTCAACCATTGTCTATAATTAATTGATTTGTTAAATTTAATTTAATTATATAAAGATACACATTTATTTTATTACTTTACATTGTTGCTGAAATCCATGTTTCAATTGTCATCAGCATTATAGTTAAACTACTTAAAAATTGTATGTTCTCCAGAAATGTCCATTCCTTCAAAAAACAATTAAGAATATATATAAAATATAAAATCAAAAGTATGATTTTCATAATATACTAAATTAATTAATTGCATACATTTGAAACCATTGTTAGAAGATGGTTCTACGGTAAATTTTGGTGACGTGACATATTAATGATTTTGTCTGGATAGAAGTTCTAGAACTTTTAAAACATATTGGCTACATAGAAGTAAATAATTAATTTTGTTAAACACTTAAAACAAAAACATATATTTGTATTATAACAAATAAAAATACCACTTTTACATATGATAAAGCATCAATTTTAAGTTTTTGGTGAATATCCTAGCAATTTTTGAATTAGTGGCTTCTAATAGTCACTACTATGAAAATATCGAGAACATATTCTTTCTGAATAGTTAGTTACACAAATATAATATAAATATAAATATAATAAAATAATTATGTATAAAATATTATCTACTCACCAGAATATACATTAGTATTTACATTTATACTGTCAAACTTGTCCACATGGTTTAATCTACTTTTTCTGTACACTTCCCTCTTTAAGAAATCTATGTAACTTATTTTTTTTATCAGTAGACTTAGATCCCTTACAAGTTACTACTGAACATTTAGGCATAGTAGGAGTCAATGGATTTATAGGTACAATAAATTACATACAACTTGAAAACGGTTATAATCAGATATATTTAATCAGAAAAAAAATATACATATATTATAAAAACATACAATGCAACATAAATTATTAAGTTTTAAATATTAACTAATAAATAGCATTATACAGGATTATTGTCATATCACACAACACTTATTATTTTACAAAATATTGCATTGCAGAATATTTTTCAGGGTACCTCTATACATAAAAAACTAATTTTGAAAAAGTAACTTATGAGTTATACCTACTTAGTAGTAGTTATAATTATTACTCTATGAAAATGTACTTTGTGAAATAATAAGTGCTGTGGGATGAAAAAAATCACTTTGTGTATGTATACAATATGGATATATGTATATACGAAAATAGGCTTATTTTAATAAATTTTAATATTACCGATTTTAAATATAATTTTGACCAAGTGACGTCATATTTCATGGCATAGTTGATAAAATATTATTTATTTCATTAACACACGGTAGGATCCCATTTTCGTTGAAGTTGCTGTAATACAATGTTAATTAATCATACTTCTAATCAAAACCGTGTATTTTTATTTTTTTTTGTTATGATATAGGTATATTTTAATTTAGATTTTTCAACTTTCGTTTTATTTACGAACTAAGATATTCTGAGCTGGCATCGTCTTGGTCGAGGAGTAGTAGAGGAACGATACTTAAATGTTTCGACATCGCCACGCCCCATATCACCAAGAAATACAAATAGGTGTAAAAGCGCTCCTAGTAACAAATAACGTAACTAATTTGTTTTTGTATATTTATATGTTTTTGATTTACCATGATTAATTATTTTTATCATTGTGTTTTTATAACATATGTATAGATGGTGCTTTTACCTCTACTTGTATCTAACTGTGGCTTTCGAAATATTTAAAGGCCACTGATAAGGTCATCGATCCAATCCAGTATATCAGTCCGAGGTTTTATCCAAAGTGGATCCACCTAGACCACGATAAAACACATGGTTATCAAACACTGGTAACAGTTAAAAGGTTATAATCTCGATATGGTTAAAACCTCGGTTATAGAAAGAACCATAACCATGAAAAATAGTTTTATCTATAACCGTGGTTATAACTTACATTATTGTTGTCTTAATAGTCTTATTGAAGATAACTTATGACTTATAATTAATAACTTTCTTTATATTATTTTTGTATTAATAATTTTTTTAATTTATAACCAAGTATATTTTAATAAATAATACATCTAGTTTGTTTTTCTGTGAAGTGCGACTTTTGTTTATTGAGGGAATAGCGAACAGTAAGGTTTCAAATGGAGAGCCATTGCTATGGATTTAAAACAGGTACCTATATAATTTACTAATTTATTATAAAGTAATAATATACTAGTAGTAGGTATACCTACTTACTTACCAATCATAATTTATGTTACTTATGTATACTTATTAATATAAATAAAACACATTTTGTTATTCTTATCCAGCAAATGTCACCACATAAATACAAGGATATAATTTAGGGTATAATTTCATATTTTGCCCATTACGCAAGCTATAATATTATTAATCACGTCATTTTAAATTCAAGAATAATTTATTATCTATGTTTAGTATGTACTACAATATTTAAGTATCTATAACATATCAATTTAAGCTTACATTATCTTAGGATTTCTTTATAAGTAGAACTAAGGTATTTTAACCTATAGGTTACCTATTTTAACTAATAAGTTATACTGATAAATATAATTAATAATAATAATAATAATAATAATTTATTTTTCATCAATAACAGAAATTATTAAAAAATTTTGTAAAAGAGTACCTACACAAAATTATTGGTCTATTCACTAAGCCTATAGCTGTTATGTGAATATGAGTTCTAAATATAATATGTAACAGAGAAGAAAAGATATATAAAGTAAAAATAATTAACAATTTATATTACATGAATTTAAATTTAAATTTAATTTGTATAATAATTTTAAATGAAAAATTATCAAAATCTATAGTATTTATGTATCATTCAAATAATAAATAATTGTTACCAAAAGAATACAAATTAATTTTTAAAGTAATATAGATTTTACAGAATACAAATAAAATATAAAATCTATTAAAATTGTTTGAGGTTTTAGAGCAATGATACTAATTAGATTATTACATTTTGTATTATGGTTATATGCAGAAATTTTAATAATATTTTTTTGATTAAACATAAATAGACATTCATGTTTAAGATTTAATGCATTTAAATTATTAAGGCTTTAATATTTGAAGATGCTATTACTAGAGTATAGTCTTGGCTTGAAAAAAATGGAATTTAATAGAGAATTAAAGGTAGTATTTAATTTATTATTATGTATTTTGCAAGAGCCTCCCTAGAAAGGCAAACTGAAAGTAAATATAGACTGAACCAAGCTAGTGAATATTATGATTATAAATTTAGGTGATAAATTCCTGAGAATAGGTACTAATAATATAAAAAAGATGTTCCTATAATATGATAAATATGTATGTTTCATTTGAGTTGATTATCAATATATACTCCTAGATATTTAATAGAACTGATTTTTTTTTTAATACATTTTTGACCACTTTTTAAATTTGAAGATACCCTATCATTTACAACAACATTATACAAGTATCATTCAAAATTAAAGTTTAATACTAAAATGTAAATAGCAGGATTTTTCAATGTTAATTTGCCAAGACTTATTATTAAACCATTTTTTAACTAATTATAAATCTTCACTAGCTTTGTCATAATGCTTATCTAAAGAGTTATAATTAAATTAAAAAACTGTATCATCCTCAAAGCTGATTATGTTACTATTAATGTTGTTATTTAATAGTTCATTTAATATAGGACTAACATTTTGTGAGATACCAAAAGGAGTTCCAATGTCATTACTAAAAGAAATTGCCTATTTTAACCACTTGGGTTCTGTTCGTAAAATATGATCTAATGGTATTTTTTGAATACCACAGAACTCAAATTTTTTTATCATAATATTTTGGTCTTTTGACCAATTGAATTGAAAGCTTTCTTTATGTCAATAAATATTCCCAATGCTTTATTACCAATATGAATTTTCTTATAAATATATTTTGTAACATTAATCAAAGCATGGTTGGTAGGTAATCCCTTTCTAAAACCAAACTGATTATTACTAAAAAAATTGTTTATAGCATTAGATAGGTATTATTAACGATTTATTAATTATAATAACAAAATTAATTTAAATCTTATTCATAAAAGTTTTAAAGTTACGTTTTTGAAATTGTATTTTTAAAGACTTGTATAAGGCAGACCACATAACTACAGTTAAAGTTGAGCAATTTGGCTGTACGGTTTTATCTGTTTAGAGAAATCCAAAGTGTGGAGGTTAATACGAACTAGTTTTTTAGAACTATGTAGTTGACCGGAAATAAATTAAAAGTATCAGTTGATAAAACTGATTATTAAAATTAAAATGTGCAGATAAGACGAATAGAGTGTAGACAAACAGTGGTATTTAAATTTTTTTTTACAGTTTTTAGTTTCACTACAACGACGCTGGAGTTAATTTCGTTTGTTTTAAATTTTTTTTCTTGTTGTCTTAATCATACAGCGCGACCATTAGAATTCAATATTTTAAATACATTTGATATTTTATAATAAGAAGCCAACGTTTAAGATAAAGTTAATAATTAAAGTGATTATCGAGGTGGAACGGGAGTTGAGAAGAAATTTAATGTCTAAAGTGGGTAAGATCAGAAAAAAGTGTTTTACATTTAATTGTCGGATAAGGGCAGTAGAAAAGAATATGACATATATTGCAGATATTTGCATTTGTATGAAGAGTGTAGAATGGAGAAAAATTGAGAAAAAGCTTGAATGAATGGTTAAGAAGAATATTGTGACCGAGAAGAAGACAAACAAAATAAACCTGAATAGACCTAAGGAGATCAAGTCCTTTAAACCCAGTTTATGGGGGGGAGGGATATGATGAGATATGAATCTATTCCAAGCAAGGAAATTAGCAGGTAGAGGACGTCATATGAATAACCATGTTTTATTTAGGGTAGAGTGGTAGAAAAGAAAAAATCCGAGATTGGTTTAAATTATTCAAAATTAATTTTAAATTGAATTATTATTAAAATTGTGTAGCAACGTATAGCCTCCGTGTTAATCATTTAATCGTTTCAACAAAACTACTTTGAGTGAGTGGACAAAAGAATTTATTGAAATTTATCGTTCTAAGCCTAGTCTTAGGAAGGCGAAACAAAATGAATGTCATGATCGAACCAAAAAGGACGTTGCTTGTACAAAATTCATTTTAAAATTACGTAAAATAAAACATAATAAAAATAGGGACTCTGCTAAAAAAAAATATTAAAATAATAATAATAATCGATTTACATTTTACCCAGTGGAGTGGCGAATATTTATGAACAATGTACAATATATATGTATATTATATACATTTTTTTTAAAATTTATTTTCAACACAATTCACAATAGTTAGGTAATAAATACAAATGGAATCATAAATAATTCCTTTAAGCTTGGCTATGGTGAAAGCACAGAGTTACAAAGTAATAACACTATTAACACAATTATGAACAATAAACAATATTTATAAATAAAATAAAGAATAAAATAATTATCGTGCATACTTAAATTATGTAAATAATAATAATAAAAAAAATGATTTATATACATAATATAAAATATTGATTAGGACTTAAATTCTACAATTCTACTTATAAGTTTCAAGAATAAATTTTAGAAAGGATTTTTTAACTTTCATACCATTTTTAAAACCAACTTTTTTATTTTAACAGGTAAATGATTATACAGGAATTATTTTAGGACCTATTTTATACTTTCCTTGTATTTTTTGTTAACCTGGACAAATCGGGAAAAATGTCCTCAAGTTAATTATAATAAAAACAAATAAAATACTTAAGTGGCTAAGTATAGGTAGGTATCTATGTTTTTTAAATCCGCGTACAGAAAAATAATAATAAATTGCCAAAAACCTTGAAAATTAAAATTACGATTAGCTATTTTCAAATATAGAATGTCATTCTATAGGTATAACAGTTTAGACATTTTATGTAATAGTGTTACTTTAAGATAACGTGTTGTTCGCGATTACCAACTATTTTAGTGTTTATCGTTTACTCATAAAATATTCATTTTGTTCCGGCGGTTTGTTCGAAGTATAAAATATTTTAGCGATACATTTGGTACTGTTTGAAAGCTTAAAAGGTAAGCAAAATCAATTGACTTACTTTATTTTTATTTAGCTAGAATATATTTAAATAACCAATCAAGTTGTTTAGACACATTCATGGTTTTTGTGATAAATAATAAACTTTGTTATAATTAAAAAAAAATAATAATAAATAACGCGAAGAAACGTGACAATCTGAGCTAGATATAATTCTGTAACTTCTCTTAAATAGGATTTTAAATTTACACTTATGCATATTTGCGCGATTTTTTATAAATCAATTTGTGTTTATAATTTTAGTTTTTATTTGGCTTAATGTGGGTCAAATTATTTGGCCGAACAGAAATTCTTGACAATTTAAAACAATGAGGTTTATTATACGTTTTAGTGTTAAAAAAAAATTGGGCGTAATTTTGTCGTTTTTTTTTTTCTCGACAAGTGTTTTAAATTCAAATTTTTGATGAAAATCGTACAAATGCAGAC